ATTGTTAATTGTTTATTGGTTTAATGTAAGTGGCTATTGTTCGGGTCGAACAATACTAAGGAAAGGGTAGTTTTATTTAAGAAGGGACTTGTATCGCTGAAGTTCTTCGGAAAGAATTTTTACGAGAAATTAACAAACACCCAGAGACGTAACAATGTATATTTTACTCCTTCAAGCTACAAATACGATAAATGTTCCTAAAATAACTTTTATAAACAAGAAATAAGCTGTTTATATAATGTAAAAAGGACACTGCAGTAAGCTGTTTTATAAAGTGTGAAAATACACCTAACGAAGCTGTTATACACAGTGTAAAAAACACTGCAATAAGCTGTTTTGTACAGTGTAAAAAGACTACAATAAACTGTTTTATAGTGTAAAAATACACCTAACGAAGCTATTATACACAGTATAAAAATACACTGCAATAAGCTGTTTTATACAGTCTAAAAAGACACCGCAATAAACTGTTTTATACAGTGTAAAAAAGACACTGCAATAAGATGTTTTATACAGTGTAAAAAGACACTGGAATAAGATGTTTTATACAGTGTAAAAATACACCAAAATAAGATGTTTTATACAGTGTAAAAATACACCAAAATATGTTGTTTCATACAGTGTAAAAAGACACTGCAATAAGCTGTTATACACAGTGTAAAAAGACATTGCAATAAGATGTTTTATACAGTGTAAAAATACACCAAAATAAGTTGTTTTGTACAGTGTAAAAAGACACTGCAATAAGCTGTTTTATACAGTGTAAAATTACACCCAAGAAAGCTGTTTAATACAGTGTAAAAACACACTGAAATAAGCTGTTTCATATAGTGTAAAATTACACCTAAGAAAGCTGTTTTATACAGTGTAAAAAAGATACTGCAAAAGGCTTTTTATCCAGTGTAAAAAACACTGCAATAAGCTGTTTTATACAGTGTAAAAAGACACTGCAATAAGATGTTTTATACAGTGTAAAAAGACACTGTAAAAAATCTTTTATACAGTGCAAAAAAACACTGCAATAAGCTGTTTTATACAGTGTAAAAAGACACTGCATTGAGCTGTTGTATACAGTGTAAAAAGACACTGCAATAAGCTGATTTATACAGGCTAAAAGACACTGAAATGATATGTTTCATACAGTGTAAAAAGACACTGCTATAAGCTGTTTTATACAATGTAAATAGACACTCGAATAATTTTTGTATACAGTTTAAAAATAAGCTGAAATAAACTGTTTTATATAGTGTTAAAAGAAACCGAAATAAGCAATTTTGTACAGTGAAAAAAGACACTGCAATATGCTGTTTTGTATAATGTAAAAAGACACTGCAATAAGTTGTTTGATATAGTATAAAAAGACAATGCAATAAGCTGTTTTGTATAATGTAAAAAGACACTTCAATAAGTGGTTTTATATAGTGTAAAAATACACCTGAAGAATCTGTTATGTACAATGTAAAAAGACACCGAAATAACGTGTTTTATAAAGTGTAAAAAGACACTAAAATAAGTTGTTTATAGAGTGTAACAAGACATTGAAATAAGCTGTTTTATTTACTGTAAAAAAGACACTTCAATAAGTGGTTTTATATAGTGTAAAAATACACCTGAAGAATCTGTTATGTACAGTGTAAAAAGACACTACAATAACTTGTTTTAGAAAGTGTAAAAAGACACTAAAATAAGTTGTTTTATAGAGTGTAACAAGACATTGAAATAAGCTGTTTTATTTACTGTAAAAAAGACACTACAATAAGTTGTTTTATATAGTTTAAATAGACACTGCCATACGCTGTTTTATACATTTTAAAAAGACTGCAGTGAGCTTTTTTCTATACAGTGTGATAAGATACTGCTGTAAGCTGTTTTATAGTGTAAAAAAGACGTTGAAATAAGTTATTTCCTTTTCTCGCTAGGTGAATCTGATTTATTTTCAATTCAGTATTTTTTTCTTGGTCAAAATAAGTTTTCTGTAAAAAAAAAAGTTACCAACTTCAGACAATGCCAATTTCAGTGAGAGATATTTGTACGAGGTTGTATAACTTTCGATATCTAGAGGAAATTAACTCGCTGGCGGCGAAAAGGCACGTGCTCAGTGGTACGTTGTTCGACCGAGATGAGATTCGAAATCCATTAAAATCAACGCATTGAAATAGAAACCTAAGTAGAACGGCGACCAAAAAAGTCAGAAGATGATGGTGTTTTAATAATATCCTGGGGTGGTGTCGTACTTTAGAAGAGTTCGTTTTGGGTCACAATGTTAGCCGTTTCTGATCAGTGGCCTACATCCATCTCCGCGATACTGGTTCAGGCTAGATCTTTCCAATCAATATTTACCGTACGACCAGGAAACAGTCAGCGGTACCAGAGGCGTTCGATCTGCCGTTTAGTTCGCTAGCTAGTCTGCGTCAGAAGTTGTCCAGTCCACAGAGCAGCGTGGTGACGGTTCTTCTGCTCCTGCTCCCCCCCACCCCAAGATAACACCTGACCGGCTACTCGCCTCGTACCGTCCAACAACAAATTGTTCAACACCTTATATAACATTCACTCTATTGTTTTACTGGTTATCTTAATTTTTCTCGAGAGGAGACTACACAAAGTATCAACGGTTGCAGAGGGCGCTGTGATGAAGAACCATGGTAGCGGACCATAGTGCCTTCGAGTATGAAGGAGAATATGATATTGAAAAGGATATTCCACCTGAAAAAGAACAATATCCCAATCCTGACTGCCGGACTCCAAAGTACAGAACGATTTTTGATGTCGTTAGAACAGGGTAAGCCTACAAGATATTTGTTAGTAAAATAGTGTTAGTAGAACTTTGCTCTGTAACGTGGTAGAGTCTCTAGGGGTACATCAGCTCGACTGTGTAACGATACGGTAAATGTCACCTTGTGCCTGAGGCTTACTGAACAGTATCGTTACAAATTATGACGTAAAGATCATGCTCGTGTTTCAGCTCTTGTGAAGTTTTCACAGGTAAAATCACTGTCTAAAAACAATTGGATAAACTGCTAAGCCTAGCTGTTCCACAGTGAATACATTATCCCTTGAAATAAAGCACGTTCCCATTGGGTGATTAAATTTAATATTATGTTCAGCTTTAGGGCGATTTTTTAAAAATTAAAACTGTGACGTTTCAGCCAATGAAGTGGTCAATCTTCAGGCAATGTGTGATTAACAACAACTGTAAAATTGTAAACCTGTAAACAACTGTAAACCTGATTGTTTGTCTGTAGTTAGTTTAGCACAAAGCTACACAAGGGACTGGTTATCCGTGCTCTGCCCACCACGGGTATCGACAATCCGCCGTCTCACTGGGGGTGTAAAGATGACCACTATTTTAAAGTTACGTTTTTATTCGTTTGTTTTATACTCAGTAAATAATGGTACTTTATGAATACTGAAGTATTTATAGTTCTTTCTCTCTCTCCTAAACATCAAAGATTCATAAACTTTTTCGTGGCTCGAACCTTTGCTTAGGAAAACCACTTTCGCCGCGAATGTAAATTAAAAAGATACGAGAAATTGCAATAATAATAATGCTTTACTAGAGTTTTCTACAGTAAAATACAACTCAGTGAAGTTATAAAGTAAACAAAGCTGTTCATCTAGTTCTTTGAACTGTGACTTAACACAGCTTAAAGAACTAAAATAAGCACTGTCACTTAACACGGTTGAAAGAACTAGAATAAGAACTGTGACTTAACACGGCTTAAAGAACTAGATGAAGAACTGTGACTTAACACAGCTTAAAGAACTAGAAGAAGAACTGTGACTTAACACAGCTTAAAGAACTAGAAGAAGAACTGTGACTTAACAAAGCTGAAAGAACTAGAAGAAGAGCTGTCACTTAACACAGCTTAAAGAACTAGAAGAAGCACTGTCACTTAACACTGCTAAAAGAACTAGATGAAGAACTGACTTAACACGGCTGAAAGAACTAGAAGAAGAACTGACTTAACACGGCTGAAAGAACTAGAAGAAGAACTGTGACTTAACACTGCTAAAAGAACTAGATGAAGAACTGACTTAACACGGCTGAAAGAACTAGAAGAAGAACTGACTTAACACGGCTGAAAGAACTAGAAGAAGAACTGTGACTTAACAAAGCTGAAAGAATCAAAAGAAGAACTGTGACTCAACACTGCTAAAAGAAGTAGAAGAAAAACTGTGACTTAACAATTTTAATGAGTGCTATGCGCTTGTTTTAGGGAGCGTGATTTCTCCAAGACTGTTTGCACATTTGTTAGGCTTACTTCTCTTTCCACATCTTCCTGTTTATTACACTTATTTATCTTGTGTTACACAAGTAAATAAAGTCCCGTCAAACAAAGCTATTAACGTGTACTAATTTGTAAAGAATTCCCTTTGTTTGTTTGTTCTTAAGCACAAACCTACACAGTAAACTAGCTATCTGTGCTCTGCCAACCGAGGGTATTGAATCCCGATTTTTAACGCTATAAACCCTCAGATTTACCGGGAAGAAAGTATTGTCTTGCTTCATTATTTTCCTGTTTCTTTGTTTTAAAACAAAGCCGTATTGTTGTGTCTACTGTGAGGAATCGAATCCCGGATTTTAGCGTTGTAAGTTCATAAACTTACCGTTGTTCCACCGGTGGATTATTTAATTCTTCTCATGTAAACTGTAATAAAATATAGAATATTGTGTGGAAATTTTACACTAAAATCCAAACACTTTCCGGAATACTTGCGACCCCCAGTTCAAATCTTCTGCTACCACCACTGGGATCGCTAAGCTGAATAACAAATCTCTATTGAAATTTGTGGTCAAGCTAAGCTGAATAACAAATCTCTATTGAACTTTGTGGTCAAGCTAAGCTGAATAACAAATCTCTATTGATCTTTATCGTCAAGGTAAGCTGAATAACAAATCTCTATTGAACTTTGTCGTCAAGCTAAGCTGAATAACAAATCTCTATTGATCTTTATCGTCAAGGTAAGGTGAATAACAAATCTCTATTGAACTTTGTCGTCAAGCTAAGC